CCTAGCTTTTTCATGCTTTCTATATTTTTATGTTGGTTTCTGCTCATCTGGCTTCATAGCTATATCTTCTTTTTTTAAAAAAATGACTTTTCATGTGGATGGGGGACATTTTTCTTGAAGACGTAACGATGTTGGTTGGGTAGGGCCTTCTGGATTTGCTTCCAGGTGCATGCAGTGGTGAAGACTCCATATGGCTATCCTTATTGTGTTAATATGAGGTTCTTGGTGGGGCCTGTGGTGAAGTTGTGCTTGTGACTGGAATGCCTGATGGGCCCATTATCAGGTTTTTTTTTGAGGTGAAGTCTCGCTCTGTCACCCTGCCTGGAATGCAGTGGCGCGATCTCTGCTCACTCACTGCAAGCTCCGCCTCTGGGTTCAAGTGATTGTCCTGCCTCAGCCTCCTGAGTAGCTGGGATTATAGGCACATGCCACCATGCCCAGCTAGTATTTTTGTGTTTTTAGTAGAGGTGGGGTTTCACTGTGTTATCCAGGATGGTGTCAAACTCCTGACCTTGTGATCCACCCACCTTGGCCTCCCAAAGTGCTGGGATTATAGGCCTGAGTCACCATGCCCAGCCAGGTTTATGTCTATCCTTGTGACCTGGGACAGCATATGCTGGCTGCTGTGTTGGCAGTTTCCAGGCAGGCTAATAATTTTGGCATCTGAGTGGCTTTCTCAGATGCTAGTTTTAGTAGAAGTATACCAGGTAGATAAGCAGGCTCTTGAGCTCCTAAGCATCTGGGGTAGTGTGAGTGATAGAGGTAGAGGTGATGAAGCTGGGTGGATCCAGATTGGGCAAGCTTTACTCAGCACCTACCAATAGCAAGTTCATGCACCAGCCATGATGTGGGGGTGGGGCGGGCAGTATACTCCTCAGGCCTCTGGTGAAATGCATAGGTGAGAAGTGACTGCTGCTGTGCTGAGGTCCTGCCATGGGTGCCAGGGAGGATGAGACCACTACCATCCCTCCCCCATCCCAGCTGTGGCAGCCAACCAGGCTGTTCTGTTAATGGCAGTTTGCACCCAGCCCATAATTCAGCTGTGAGCCATTGAAGTCAGCACCCAGCTCAAGACCAAGCCTCTTCAGTAACTCATCCTGCTCAGGATTGGAGCATGGGGAGCCTGGTTCCAACACCAGAGGCTGGAGCCCATGTATGCCATGTCTGATTCTCAGTTTTGGTTGTGAGATCCCCATCCCTGCTCAAGCCCCTGCTCTGCAAGATGCAGCCTGATCTTCCCCAATGGCCAAGACTGGTACTGCAGATTCCCAGGACCACTCATAGTTTGCTAAGAGCTAGGATCAAGAATGGCATCTTACTGTGACTACTTAGTTCTGAGGAAAGGTATGGGACCCAGGGCATGTTGCCTCCCTGGAGCATTTCCTTCTCACAGTCTCCTGGATGCCCCCTAAATCAGATTCAGGATTTGGATGGGTCAGGATGGTCTCCTGTAGCCTGGATTGTATGATTCCCCAGTGGGGAAGTGGACTGGAGAAAGATACTCTCTCTTGTATTAGGGATTCATTGCCAGTTCCCAGACTGTCTTGACTACACAGTCTGTCTGCTTTCCATCTCTTTCCTAGATTTTGGAGTTTCCTTTCACTTTTTCTGTTGAACCCCGTGTTCCCTCCTGGATAATGTATTCAAAGTGTGATTGTCTGCATACCATTTGGTTTTTCTAAGTGGATGAGGTGTGCTGGAAATCATTCTAGTCAGCTATCTTGGAAAAAAGTCAGCCTCCTGTTGCTTTTTGAACTTCTTTGATCTCTTCATATGGTTACTGTGTTTTCTCATGACCATTATTTTCAGCCTTTTCTGCTTGCTGTTTTTTCTCTACTCACTTTCTAAGTATAGGTCTTCCTGATAGCCAATTCTTAATCTTTCTAATTTGATAGTCTGATATTAGGTGATGTCCCACATTTCTGTGATTTAATAGAATTAACCATATTCCTACAACTTTTTTTTTTTTTTTTGAGACAGTCTTGCTCTGTCACCCAGGCTAGAGTGCAGTGGTCCCATCGCAGCTCACTTCAACCTCTCCCTCCCGGGTTCAAGCGATTCACCTGCCTTAACCTCCTGAGTAGCTGGGATTACAAGCGCGTGACACCACACTCAGCTAATTTTTATAATTTTAGTAGAAATGGGATTTCACCATGTTGGTCAAGTTGGCCTCGAATTCCTGACCTTGTGATCTGCCCACTCTCCACCCAAAATCTAGTTGCTTTAAATGAGCAGAATGATCCATTTTTCCATTTTAGGTGAGCAGATGATTATGAAAGATCTCAGAACTGTTTACCTCATTTATCAGGAAAGTTTGCAAGGGAAGAAACTATTATCAAATGTCTACTTGTAAATATAAGACTAGGACTCAGGCTCATATCTTATACTTTTAACATGAACTTGTTGAAAGAATCGTTAACAATTTCAAAACTAAATTAAACAAATTTTAAGTTTTTCCCTGCAAAAGCATAAAAGTGGAAATTGTAACAAATTCTTAAAAGAAAAACAGCTCTTCCTTATACAAGTTCTTGGGTAGTTACCATAGAACAGGTTCTTTTTGTTAGTTTCTTTGAAAACAGATTTTTGGTCCCAAGTCTGTTCCTGCCTTCCTCTTTCTCCAAGCGGCTTTCCTAAATGGCCTCTGGGAACCCTGGAGCCCGACTGGCTGTAAGAATCATGCAGTGGAGGGCTGCCCCTTTCCATGGGCAGAGGGAGTCCATGATCCTGGTCTGCCTACTTGGTCTCGGCCCCTCAAGTATCGGTCGCTCTGGATGTAAATTTTGCTGTAACTGTCACGGCCGTTGCGGCCCTGGTACTCCTTGTAGTGTCTTCTTCCTCCATAGCAGCCTCCTCCACTCCTGCCGTAACTGCTGCTGTAACTCTTATGGCCCCCACTGTAGGCATCGAGTGAGCGGCGCCGGTAATTCTTGTAGCGGTCTCCTCCTCCATAGTGGTCGCTCTGACTGTAACTATTGCTGTAACTGTTGCGGCCCCGGCTGTAGGCCTCGAGCGAGCGGCCCCGGTACTCCTCATAGCGGCTTCCTCTTACGTAAGATGGCGGTGTTCCACGCCTGGGGGCGGTGCTGCACGGGTCTCCACAGCTCTCGAAGGGCTCTCGGTAAGGGCCTCTGCTTGGATGATCCGTGTAGTCATGGTCACGACCCCTGTAGCCGTCTCGGTGGCCATGGCCTCTCGAGGGACAGTAGTCCCGGACACTGGAGTGGCCATAATGATGGCGGCTGTACTCTCTGGACGAGGGGGCAAAATCCCGGGAGTTGCGGTAGTATCGGCTCGAGTAGCTGTCTCTGGGTGCCCGCCAGCCCAGGTAGGGGTGGTGGTGCGGGGGTGGTGGCTCCCAGCGCGGCAGGTCTGAGTAGCCGCCTCGCTCCCACAAGGCCACGGCCTTCCTGCGCATTTCACTGCCACGGCTGCGAGCTAGGCCCCATGGTGTGGCCCTCTTGCGGGGTGGGCTAGCCCAGTGCAGCACCGGCTGCGGCCTGCGCTTCATGGACATTCGGGCTCTGTAGCGCTGCGGGTCAAAATGCCCCACGTAGCCGCCATCATCATTGGGCCTGCCCCGTGATGGGGGTCGCCACAGGCTGCCGCCACCCCCACGGATCCCGCATGGGAACCTCGGGTGACCGTGGCTGCTGGGGGACCTTGGGCCCCACCGGATGCTCTGGAATGCCGGTTTGACGGCCTGGGCCACCTTGATGGACTTACCATCTAGGTAATTGCCATTCATATCTCTGGCGGCAGCCCTGGCGTCTTCCGGGCTTTCGAAGGTGATGAACGCGAAGCCCCTCGACTTGCTGGTTTCTCGGTCTTTCATCAGGACCACCTTGACGATGCAGCCATACTTGCTAAACTCTGCCTTGAGGGCTTTCTCGTCGGTTTTGAGGTTGAGGCCCCCAACAAAAAGCTTCCCCGGGCGATCCACTTCCATCATGTCTGCCTGTGGAGTGGTCGGTTGGAGGCAGTGGGAGGGGTGAGGCAGCGCCAGTTGCAGCCTTGGAGCGCTCTTTGTTGAGGGCGGCTCCTACTGGTTGGGGGTGTATATCTCAAGAAGAAAAAGTGTCTTACGTCATAGTTCTTGGAAACACCAGCATTTATGATACAGGTAGGGGAAAACCTAGCAAAAGAAAATAAGAAGTAGCCAGAGAGGTGTTAGGAAGAGATCCCAGAATTATAGTCTTCTAAGACAAAGGAAAATAATATTTCCAGACATATGGAATGGTTATTGATATGGTGGTTGTTGGTATTGGTGAATGTGAGAGTGCATAGAAACCAATTTGTAGTGCCTTGAGAAGTCTATGGTAAGTAAGAAATTTAGTTGTGGATTTATGTAACTTTGGCTGTGAAAGAAGAGGCAGATGGAGGGGGATGTGGGATCGTGGGAGGTATTTTTGTGTTTGCTTTTAAAGATTAGAGATAAATCTTCATTGGTATTTTAAAAGACATAGCATATTTGGATTTTAGACATATTGAAGCATATGAAGTACGTTTGGTTAATAAACATGTATTCTATGAGTATTTTTTTTTTTTAAAGACAGAGTCTGGCTGTGTCACCCAGGCTGGAGTGCAGTGGCATGATCTCAGCTCACTGCAACATCCACCTCCTGGGTTCAAGCAATTCTCCTGCCTCAGCCTCCTGAGTAGCTGGGATTACAGGCACCCACCACCACATCCAGCTAATTTTTGTGTTTTAGTAGAGACAGCGTTTCGCCATGTTGGCCAGGCTGGTCTCCAACTCCTGAGCTCAAATGATCCTCCTGCATTGGCCTCCCAAAGTGCTGGGATTACAGGTGTGAGTCACTGCACTGGCCATATGAGTGCATTTCTTAGTAATGTTTTTTTGCCCTCAAGGGTAATATTGTCTATTTTAAAATATTTTAAGTAGTTGCTTAGATTCTAAGTGATTCAGCAAGTGTGAAAATAGTCCTTTTAATTACCATAGATATAGGTATATGTCTAATACTCAGACACTTTTTTTTTTTCAGATCTTTCCAGAAATCGTTTTACAGAAATTCCTTCTGATGTCTGGTTATTTGCACCCCTGGAAACATTAAATTTATATCATAATTGCATCAAAACCATTCCTGAAGCCATTAAAAATCTGCAGATGTTAACATACCTTAACATTAGGTAAGGAAACAAAAATAAATTTTGGTTTTTATTGTCATTTTAATCCTTTTTTAGTAGCAAAGGAATATGTTTGATATGGCTGTGTAGCTTAAATTTATCTCAGTAGTATCTTATTTGTGTTTTTCATATGTTCACATTATTTTGTAGGTTTTTATCCTGTTCTCGAGAGCGGAGCTTCTCAAACTTTAACACATAGGAATTACCCTGAGATCTGTTAGAATGCAGGCTCTAATTTCTTAGGTCTGTTGTGGGGTCTGCATTTCTAACAGGCCCCTTGGCAATGCCCATGCCTACTTACTGGTCCCTAGACCTCGGTTTGAGTAGCAAGGCTTTACACTATAAATATTTTCCTGAAATTATAGCACCACAATACAGATTTTATGTACATCCTTAAATATGTGAAACAAAGAAACAATGCTTGAGCTATTTTTTCTCACTTTTATGACCTCTTGCTTCTACTTCAAGGATGGTTAGAGTGGGATGGGAATGTTCAAAGGTTTGGAAGTGGATGACAGTTCATGTTTATACTTAGTAAGTGCTTATCATGTGCCAAGCAGTATTCCAAATGCTTTACCCATATTACCTTATCTAGTTTTCATGACAGCATTTTGAGATAGGTATTATTGTTATCCCTGCATTACAGGTGAGGAAACTGGGTTAAGCTCTTTGTCCAGATTCATAGATAGATTCAGCAAGTGATAGAGCCAAGATTAAAATCAAAGCAGTATGACTGTAGAACTCTCATTCATACATAGCTCTTACCCTATATATATAAAAGAGTGAACACTCAATAAGTATAAGAAAAAACTTTCCCTGCCAAATCAGTAACATTGAATGAAAATTGATATATTTTGACTTAATTTTAGAATTTGTTCTTTTTTTATTCAGTTGGAAGGGATAATTTCCTCATTAACCAAGTTGTCTAAATTCACATATAGAGGAGTAGTAACTATAATATACATAAATGATAATGTTCTCATCTCACTGTGTTATATCATTTCTTTTATATGACTCCTCCAGTGGTATTACCTGACAGTACATGCTATTTTAACTGAAACTACTTCACACTGCCGGGTGCGGTGGCTCACACCTGTAATCCCAGCACTTTGGGAGGCCAAGGTGGGTGGATCACAAGGGTCAGGTGTTTGAGAGCAGCCTGACCAACATGGTGAAACCCCATCTCTACTAAAAATACAAAAATTAGCTGGGTGAGGTGGCAGACACCTGTAATCCTAGCTACTCGGGAGGCTGAGGCAGGAGAATAGCTTGAACCCAGGAGGCAGAGGTTGCAGTGAGCTGATATCATGCCATACAGTCCAGTCTGGGTGACAGAGCAAGACTCTGTCAAAAGAAAATAAATGAAAAGGAAAAAGAGAAGAGAAGAGAAAAAAGAAAAAAGAGAAAAGGGAAAAGGAAAAGAAATGTGTGAGAGAAATTTCCTTCCATAGATATCAATCCTTGTTCTCTAAGTAGGTATAAATCTTGGCCTGGCTTAAAAGAGGTTTGTGGAAAGTCATGTATTTTTAAGTTTTGTCTTTGTTTCTGTTTCATTTTGTTCTTTTGCAGAAAAAGCGTTTTGCCAAAAACTGAATTACATTTCTCCCTTAACAAATATGGTAATCTTAGTTTTACTGAAGTTTTACTAAAACTTTATCTGATTCTATCCTGTTGTGATCAGTAAGAGTCAACTTTGTTTTTTATAGTCACAAAAATCTTTGAGCAAACTATATTGAAATAACATTAGTTCTAGCGACTGATTTCCTCTTTAAAGCATGTGGTAAAAAATTGACAATTAATAATTTATTAGCTAGTATGAAGAAACCAGATTCTTGTGAAAGATGATTGTGTGTTAACTCAATGAATATATATATTTTTTGAGTCTTGTTCTGCCTCCCAGGGTGGAGTGGTGTCATCTTGGCTCACTGCAAACTCCACCTCCCAAGTTCAAATGATCCACCTGCCTCAGCCTCCCGAGTAGCTGGAATTATAGGCACCCGCCACCAGGCCTGGCTAATTTTTAGTAGAGGCAGTGTTTTACCATATTGGCCAGGCTCGTCTCAAACTCCTGACCTCATATGGTTTGCCTGCCTCAGCCTCCCAAAGTTCTGGGATTACAGGCGTGAGCCACTGTTTCCGGCCTGAATATGCTTTTTAAGGGAAGAAAATAAACTGATTTTAAGCTATTTTTGGCCTGAAGAAGTATTAGAATGAGTTTGCCATTATTTAGTCCATGTATTTATTTATTTTGCTGAAAATATCTTAATAAACTTATAAGATAATTTTTCAACTCTTCTCTCTTCCTATATACTACCCCCTTTTTTAGTAGAATCCTACAGAAAGATCCTTGTGTGCCCTGGTGTGAAGGGGCCCAGATGGACCGTTTTTCCAAGGAGCCTGCTTGACCCTGAAAATAACGAAGGATTATGACAGGACCCTAGCATATTTGATATTCCAGCAATCTGGCCAGTATTGCTGGTTGAGGGGCATTGCCATTTTTTGTTTATTTGTGCCATGTGATTAAAGCCAGTCTAGTGTTTCTGGATGTCCTTTGCCAGAGAAAAGATAAAGTGAAGGGTCTTGAAGTCCCCCTCTTGGGTAACACTGGACTTTTGTTGCTGTGTGTGTTACACAAAATGCTACGTACAGGTCTATAAACGTCACTTTGAAAAATAGGAAAAATAGTAGCTTATTGCTTATTAATGCTTGTTAGTATGTAAATGGAATGGAAAAATGTATATTTTGATAGGGGGTTATTTGGGTTTTGGCATATAAATTTGACTATAGTAATTTGAGGGCCAAGGCCCCAGAGCCGGATTGCCTGGGTTTGAATCCTGCCTCTCCCACTTTACAGCTGTGTGACTTTGAGCAGTTTACTTAAACTCTTTGTGATTATTTCTTCATCTGTAAAATGGGTATCACTGTCAGAGTTAATTCACACGAGCTGCTCTGAACATGTCCTGGCAATAGTAGGTACTCAGTTAATGTTAGTTATTATATTTAAATGTATCTATAGAGATGAGAATGTTTTATCAACTTTGAGCTGAGATAAAGGTGCTAATAGGCTGTTAAACCTTAAAAGGGATTGGGTTAGGGTTACTACATGTTTTTGAAGATACAGTCCTATTCATTCTTTTATAAATTTGAACTTAGTGCATGCATATTTACTCCTGGAGACTTTCCTTAGCATAGAAGTATTGAATATACCAGACTTATATTAAGGAGCAAGGTTCTGACATTCTTGAGCTCAGAAGAATCATTCTGGGTTTTTGAGAACTGATGGTGTTTAGAGCAGTATCATAGGTCTGACTGCATAGGCTTTGCTATGCTATGGATCTCTGCTGTACTTGGGCAAGTCACTTAACCAGTTTTAACTTTCATTTTCTGATTCGTATAATGAAGGTAATAACTACTTGATCTTGTGTTGTTAACGTGAGAATTAAATGAGACAGTGCGTATAAGAAATTTAGCACTGTGCCTGATACAAAGTGAGCACTCAGTGATTATTATTACTTAGTGATAGAATATTATTTACTTACAAAGTGATTTCTTCTTTTTTAATATGTCACATTTCATACATATTTCTCATAATGAGACTTTCTGATTCTTTTCAGTCGAAATCTTTTATCAACATTGCCAAAATACCTATTTGATCTTCCTCTTAAAGTTTTGGTCGTCAGTAATAATAAACTGGTATCCATTCCAGAAGAAATTGGGAAATTAAAAGATTTAATGGAGTTGGTGAGTAAAATAGTTATATTAATTGAATGTAATATGCATAATATATACACCTTTACATTTTGGAAGATTATTCATTATTTTATGGAATTTCATTTTAATTTTTTAAAAAAGTATTACCTTGGTATATGTCTAAATTCAGTAAGACTTAGTAAAGTCTTGAGCTACTGTATGTCTGAGTTTTCCCAGTCACAAAATAGCATGGTTCTTTCTTAGTCCTAGTAATGTTAGAAGGCTTGCTTACCAACTTTAAGAAATACTTTTCAAATGAATAGGCATTTGTTTACCCCTTTTTTGAACAGTAAAGGTCTTAGAGAAAAGCTAAGGGAATTTATTAAATAAGGCTTTTGTAAGACTATGATATATCCTTAGAGAAAGGAGATAGAAGAAAGTTTCTACAAACAGAATTTGCAACATAACTCTTCCTCACTGTTTGCTTATATGATAACTCTTTTTAGACTGAAATAAATAGTAAGACACTATTATATGCAATTGATTGTAGAAATACAGAATAATTTAAATTAATTACCTGGGACATAACATTTTAGATATTAAAGGACATTGAATTCTGAGAGAAACATATTCAGATCCTCAAACCTTTGAGCTATTTTTTATATCTTTTGTTTACCTCCACTTTACACAGTGTACCATGCTGCTTGTTTTTCTTTCCTTTTATCTTGAATGATGCTTTGCTAATAAATAGGTATTTTTAAAGTATTCTTTTTGGTTTTTTTTGAGACAGAGTCTCACTCTGTTACCCAGGCTGGTGTGCAGTGGCATGATCTTGGTTCACTGCAGCCTCTGCCTCCCAGGTTCAGGCAATTCTCGTGCTCAGCCTCCCAAGTAGTTGGGATCACAGGCATGCACCACTATGCTCAACTAAATTTTGCATTTTTTGTAGAGACAGGGTTTCACTATGTTGCCCAGGCTGGTCTTGACCCCTGGCCTCAAGTGATCTACTTGCCTCAGCCTCCCTAAGTGCTGGGATTATAGGTGTGAGCCACTGTGCCTGGCCTAAAGTCCTGAAGTATTCTTATGTATGACTATATTATGTCCAGGGGCCCAAAAGTTTTCTTGAGGAACTTACCTCCAATTTTAAATGAGAAATGAATTTTAACAGAATGTAATGAGCAGAAATTTCAGGAATACCTTTTATTCATTAAGGAATACCTGCATGTCTAATCAATGTCGAATTATAATACAAGGTAGCTTCCTTGAATTTTACCTTATGTTTTAGAAACATATAATTTAGAGATTATAAAAGGTCTTAGAAGTGATCAGATACAACCACTTCCTAATGCAGGAATCCCTGACACATCTACTGTATATTTTCAATGGTGGACAATTCTGTATATGTGTGTGTGTGTGTGTGTGTGTGTGTGTGTGTGTGTGTAAATGCATGCCTATTCCAATTCTCCTGTGCAAAACCATATTTGTTATTACTCGTTCTTATTTTGAACCAAAATACATGCTTCTGTATTTTTTTCCCGTTGATCCTGGGACTACCATATGAAGAAATCGGACACTTGTAATCTGTTATGTGCCTATTCTCCATTTTACTAAACTCTTAAGATGTGTTTTTCTATGGCTTAAACATGTTTATTACCTTTATTCCTTTGTATGACTTTTTACTTTTAGCTATTTCTATTTAGAAAATGATCCCTTTAAAATCTCTCTTAATGTTATACTAAAAAATGAACAAAGATTCCAGATGTGATCTAACAAGTTTGTAATAGAAGGGACTATTATTTTCTTTGATTTGAACACCGTTAATGCTTTTCAAAATTTTATAAAGGTTATAATTTAAGATTTTATGTCTCTGTAATTTATTTCTTTTTTAAATTTAGTTTTTGGCCCTATGTTTTTAATTTCATTACATGATGTAATTTTTAGATAAATGTCAAAAATAATTAGGAGTTTTAGTTTAATTCTAGCGTAGTTGTCCTTCTATGGGGGATTGGTTCCAGGATTCACCCCGTACCAAAATCCACGAATGCTCAAGTCTTTTATATACAATGATAGTGTTTACTTATAACCTACACAGGTTCTCCCATATGCTTTAAATCATGTCTAGATTACTTATAATGCCTAATACAGTGTAAATGCTATGTGAATAGTTGTTATGTTGTATTATTTAAGAAGTAATGACAAGAAAAAAAAGACAATATATGTTCAGTACAGGCACAACCATGCTTTTTTTTTTCCTGAATATTTTTGGTTAGTATTTGGTTGAATTCATGAATGCAGAACCCATGGATACAGAGGACCAACTGTGTTTTTATTTAAGTAGAAAATGTTTAAATGTTAAATACTATTTTTTTAGTAAGTACTATAAAATTATTATGATTTAAACTCTTGAAATCAGTAACAGTAGATGGGTAGATAGCATTGGGACGGCTAATTGACAGTTGTAAATTATATATTGAATTTGTGGGTATTCCCTGTTAAAATATTTTCCCATGATACTCTTCCACATGATGTTATAATCAACTGTAATGAAATTCTGTCATTAGAAACTTAGGAAATACTCTCTGGCCTCCAATCTCTGCAGAATATTTTATAGAACACCCACTGGTGTGTGTTCATTTTCTATGCCTGGATGTATTTCTCCTGGGAAATGACAGCTATCTCTCAAATTTCTATGGATTTTCCATATGGAAATCTTAAGTATCAAATATCTTTAGAAAGAAAAAAAAATGTTTAAAGAACATTTTTGCAAACTTTTATTATCCATCATTTGAATAATAGTCTATTCTGAAAATAGCAGCTAAGGTGATCCTGTCAATATATAAGTCAGATCATGTCAATCCTCTGTTCAGAAGTTTCTGGTTTCTGCCCATATCTCAGAATAAAAACTAAAGTCACATCCTTCCCTCTATTCTACTCTTTCCCTTGCCCATTTCCCTCTAATTACACTTGATTCCTTGCTGTTCTTTGTAAGGTGTCAGGTGTGCTCTGCCTGAGCACGTTTACTTTTATTGTTTCTTCTCTGGAATATTCCTTTCTTATATATTGGTATGGTTCACTCTTTTAGCTCTGCCAATCACCTTATCTATGAGATGAGCTAGTATCCTCCACTATTGCGAGCATAGCCACTTTCCTACCCTGTTGTTATTTATTTTTTAAATAGTACTTACTACCTTCTAGCATATTGTATAGTTTACTCCCCTTGCTAGCATGTGAACTCCATGAGGAGCTATGAGAGCAGGAAATTTTATTTTGTTCCTTTATATGTCCCCAGTCCCTGGAACAGTACCTATCAAATATTAATAGTATTCAATAAATATTTCTTGTTGAATGAAGATGCCTTAGATATTGTTTGAAAGAGGCGTGTAGGATATGTTTTCCTAATCATGTATAGCATTATTATATTCTTCGCTGCATGGATTTACTATTATTTTGCAAACTGAATGTACGTACTATTCTCCATCCAAACTAATACCATGTTCACTAAAAGTTGGAAATTGGTGGCAATTGCAGTAGAATAAGAATTTCATTTGAGGTGTGTCTAGAATGATTACTGTCTGACACCATGCTGTAGATTTCTTTTTGTTGATGTTATTATAAGAAATAGGGGAGACAGCATAGTTGATTGAAACTGTTCTTTATTTGTTATTATGATAATAAGTAAAAACCTCAATTTGTTATTATGGAAACTTGATATTGTTTACCTTTACATTGGGGCTTGGATTTTGACTGCAGAGATTTCCTGAGAGATACCTGAGAGATTTCCAACTCAAATCTCTTAGAATGTCTTTGAGTTATGATATGAGTCACAAGTGTTTGAGCTTACTTCTCATTTTGTATCCCTTTGGAGAAAATGATTTAGTTAAATTGATCCTGATCATAGTCTTCGAAGACCTTTTTATTAGCTTGATTGCTTATATAAATATACAAAACATACAGTCATCAAATTTGCTAATTACACACAGTAAATCCTTGACTTTCTTAGCTTCTGCCCAATGAAGTATCTCAAGACAACTACTGTAATTGACAGATTATACAATGTTTGAGAATTGTTAGTCTTTGCTTTACCTGTAGATGAAGAGTGCTGGATCATTCTTATTTCTGGATTTGGCTGGTATGAGATGGTCTTTAGTTGAGATTTTTCAAAAGGCTGACTTATGTAGTTACTAATCTATAACCTCAAATTTTTGTATGGAAAGTTTCTATTTACCGTGCTAGGTTGACTTCATGATGTAATATAAATAGAAATCTGCCAGATAATCCATCTTTAGAGCAATGACATTAGATGGTAACTTTTGCTAGCTATTAACCATGTGCTTTAATTTAAAAATCAGAATATATATGTGTGTGTGTATATATATTTCTCAGTTAGCTTGTTATAATTCTATTTTATTGTTTTCTTTAGGATATTAGCTGCAATGAGATTCAAGTCCTTCCCCAACAAATGGGAAAATTACATTCACTTAGAGAGCTAAATATAAGAAGAAATAATCTTCATGTTTTGCCAGATGGTAAGATGCTCACTATGTTTACTCACATGAATAATAGAGTAACTACGTAAAATTTAATTAACTGTTTTTCTTTTCTGACCAGAATTAGGTGATCTTCCCTTAGTCAAGCTGGATTTCTCTTGTAATAAAGTGACCGAAATTCCAGTTTGTTACAGAAAGCTGCATCATTTACAAGTAATAATTTTGGATAACAATCCATTGCAAGTACCACCAGCACAGGTTTGTAATAAAGATATTATACATATTTCTTCTCATTTTTGTTCATAATTTTATCTGTTTGTGACTGGTAAATCAAAAAGCACCTAAATCAAGAGCTAATTTGTTGCTCGGGCACTGTTGTCTAAAGTTTTTCTGAGCATTGCCTTTTGCATTTTGGTAGAAGTTTTAGCTTAGGCTCTAGGATAGCATTTGGAAAACCTAGATAATAACTTTCTGCTTGTGAAATGATAATTCTGGTTGTTAGTTATTTACAAAAGAGACTCTGAAGTCTCTCTACCTGTTTCCCACTCAGGTATATATCTACTTGGGATTTGTTGTGGGATTGATTGGAGCACATTTTTGGCACTGAGAGATGGAATTATAACAAGAAGAACAAGATACAAGTGGAAAATATTAATTATGACTTTTAGCTTAGTGAGAATTAAATCCATGTGGAATCCTCTAAAATGATAATTAAGGAATAAACTGTAATATAAACCCATAAGGACAAGGATGAAAGAGAAGGAAGAGGACAGTGGGTAAGCGATGTCAATAGATTTTGAAAATGGAAAATAGAATAGTAGAAACTAGTGCCTTTACTTAGATTTCACAAGAGTATTTGGCTGAGGAGCAAGTAGCAGTGAAATGGTACTTTATGCTGTGTGCCCTGGAAGAGAGTTTGCAGACATCCAGAAGAAAGGTTGTCTTTTTCTTCCTACAAAAGTACATTCCACTCATTCCAAAGGGTTTGCCTTTTCTCATTCAACTAAAGGCTGGCTAGAGTGCTGGTAGTAGCTGCTTTAGCAGAATGAAGAAAGCTGAAACTTGTGCCTGCTATGGGAGAAGGCAATCAGAAGCATGTTGATTTACAAATCAAATCTGGGAATGGCTTGAGTATTGGAGGAAACATGCAACTCTGAATGTAGGGATTAAGTACTGAAAACATGATAGTTTGTGGAATATTTAAGGCAGTGCTGTCTGGTAGAACTTTCTGAATGATGGAAATGTTCTGTAACTGACAGTGGTTCAATACTGTAGCCACTTGTTCATGTGGCTGTTGAATGCTTGGAATATAGCTAGTGCAACTAATGAACCAAACTTTACATTTTATTTTAATTTGATTTATTTAAATCTAAATTGCTACAAGTGACTGGTAGCTCCCATATTAAACACCACAGTTCTAAGGTTTACACCCTCAGATTCTTGCCTTCAGCGCCACAGCCACAGACTGTGCCTTACTTGCGTCAGCAGAAGGTCAGAATTTATTCTAAGGAGTAGGTGAATCCTTAGGCTTTCTCCTTTAGCTCAGTGACCAGATGATGACTCACTTCTTGCCTCAGCAGAAGACTGGTATTTACTCTTTAGAGAAGCACTGTCCCACTTGTACTTGCTGTGGTAATAGGTATGTTCTATGTCTGTACCGTCCAATACGGTAGCCATAGTGGCTACTGAGTACTCGAAAGTGTATAGTGTGACAAAAGAACTGAATTTTTAGTTTTATTTTGATTTGATTAATCTACATTTAAATAGACACATGTGGAGCAGAAAACCAAACACCACATGTTCTCACTCATAAGTGGAAGTTGAACAATGAGAACACATGGACAGAGGGAGGGGAATATCACACACTAGGGCCTGTCAGGGGGTGGGTGGCAAGGGGAGGGAGAACATTAGGAGAAATACCTAATGCATGTGGGGCTTAAAATCTGGATGATGGATTGATAGGTACAGCAAACCACCATGGCACATGTATACCTATGTAACAAACCTGTACATTTTGCACATGTATCCCAGTACTTAAAGTAAAATGTGGCTAGTGGTACCCTATTGGACAGTAAAGCTATAAAGGGATTGAACCAGAGTCAGGGGCTCCAGGTACAGCTTATAGCAAGAGTGAGACCCCATACTGAAAACAGTGAATGTTTGCTTGCCGAATGTTGAGACCCTGCAGCTTGGCTCCCAGAATGCTTGCAGCCTGTCTTACATATCTCAGACAGAATTGGTGGATTTCTTCCTTAGTAAAGTAAACTGCGCCAGGAGAAGAGACGTATCTAGGTACTGAACTTTTGGGGTCACCCGATGAAATGGCTAGTCTGTGTCTGATCACCAGATAGGTGGAAGGTCACCATCAGGAAACTTCCCCATGTACACAGAGCTTCCAGTTTGTTTTTTATTATCCCCTTTCAAAATTAACAGATAGATCAGGTGGTAGCTCATGCCTATAATTCCAGTACTTTGGAACCTTGGAAGGCTGAGGTAGGAGGATTGCTTGAACCCAGTAGTTTGAGGCTGCCATGAGCTGTGATCGTGCCACTGTACTCCAGCCTAGACAACAGAGTGATACCCTGTCTTTAAAAAAAAAAAAAAAAACGAAAAAAAAAGGGCTGGGTGTGGTGGCTCACACCTATAGTCCCAGCACTTTGGGAGGCCATGGCAGGCAGATCACCTGAGCTCAGGGGTTTGAGACCACCCTGGGCAATATTGTAAAACCCTGTCTCTACTAAAATACAAAAAATTAGCTGGGTGTGGTAGCGCTCGCCGGTAGTCCTAGCTACTCAGAAGGCTGAGGCACAAGAATCGCTTGAGGCCCAGAGGTGGAGGTTGCAGTGAGTCGAGATTGTGCCACTGCACTCCAGCTTGGGTTACAGAGTAAGACTCTGTCTAAGAAAATAAAAGAAAATGAACAGACACCCACGGATCATTAGACATTGCAAAAATAATCTCTAACATGAAAGACAGAGACCAAAACATGAAAAGGCTTTCATTGAAACAAAAGGGAGCACATTAATTTTTTTGTGTGTATATCCAGAAATATTTGTAAACCATATCTCTGATAAGGAGTTAATAGCCAAAATATATAGGGAACTCATACAGCTCAATAGCAAAAAAATTAATATTAACCCAATTAAAAAATAGGCAAAGGACTTGAATAGGCATTTTTTTCAAAGAAGACATACAAATGACCAACAGCTGTATGTAAAGATGTTTAGCATTTCTGGTCATCAGGGAAATGTCAATCAAAGCCACAATGAGATATTACTTCACACTTGTTAGGATACCTATTATCAAAAAGAAAAGATAACCAGTGTTGGCAAGGATATGGAGAAAAGGAAACTGTTGTACAGTATTGATGGGTATGTAAAATTCTACAGCCATTATGGAAAACAGTATAGAGCTTCCTCAGAAAACTGAAAATAGAGCTACCATATGATATTCCAACCTGTAACCGGGAGACAGGAGCAGGGCTGCAGGGGTGTTCCAAAAACGCTCATTGTTCCCCGATCAGATATGTTTTTTCCAGGTCCTTGGTCTCTTACTTACCCAAAAATGGGGAGGAGACCCAGGTGGTGCGGTGATATTGTTCAAGTAAATATTGAACCCAAAAAGCTTTACGGAAAAGCGATTTATTATGCAGAGAAAGAGAGAGAGAGAGAGAGAGAGAGAGAGAGAGAGAGAGAGAGAGAGAGAGATAGCTCGGTCCCACGCTGTTGTGGGAGGGAATCCAGAGATGGAGTCCCTATAGGTAAGGGAGTAGGAGGGAATTTAACCCCAGAGTTACTCCCACCCCATTCAAGTTCTTGTCCAGTGAGAGGAGCTTTTCCAAACTTCCTCTGGAGTGACTGATCTTTGACTCTGATGCTGGTTTGGCTGCCTGGTTCACAATAGAGGCCCTCCTTCCAAGGGTTTTGGTGGACTTTCTAATAAACAAAGGGAGCTCACCTGGGCTGCCTACCCTTCCCACGTGGGAAAGTTAGACAAAAAACTCTAGGCTCCCAGATGGGAAGGTGAATGGAGGTATGGCACTGGGAAGTTCTTGCCTTTAACCATGCCCCTTGTGGACCTGGGAAGAAAAGTTAACATAGTCCTTTAATCCCACTTCTGGGTATATATCTGTAAGAGATAGAAAAACAAACCAAACTGTTTTTCCAGTCTAACCCTCAATACAGAATACTTCACTTCTGGTCACCAAAATGTGTGGAGATTTCTTCACACTACCAAGCAGTTCTCCAGCAGACATTGACTGGGTGTCCTATAATTCAATTCAATTCTGACGCTACCTGGAATCAACATCAGATCCCATAGGTTAAGAGCTCAGTCCCACAGACTGCTCTTCTATACTTCTGACTGAACAGCTATGAATTCAGGTTCTCATGACCCCCTCCTCAGATTCAATTAATTTACTAGAGTGGTTCACAGAACTCAGGGAAACACTTTACTTACTATTGCTAATTTATTACAAAGTATACAAATGAATAGCCAGATGGAAGAGATGGATAGGACAAGGTATGTGAGAGGGTGTGTCAACTGAAGGGGTAGAGAGGGCTTGATCCCTTTCTTCCCCATCGTAAGGGTCATGGCTGATACCCCTATAACAAAAAACAAGTAAACAAGATAAAAGGATAAAAAATTTATTTGATATAGTTTTATGTAACACTGGAGCCTTCGGAATGCGGACCCAAAGATATAGAGAAAGTTAACTGACTTATGCTTAGATTCAACTGAGACTGGGACAGTGATGTAAAAATGTGATTGGACGAAAAAAAAAAAAAGAGTATAAGCTAATGGTAATAGTTGGAATGGGAGAATCTAGCAAGGCCTTTTCTTGGCGTCTCTGTTGTAGCATTTGTTCCTCCTGCATATAGGATAGGACTCCTCTGGAATAAGGGTTTTAATTTCTTTATGGCCAGTGGTTACACAGAAAGGTAGGGGAAGCTTAGAGTAATATTTTTAGTCTTTATGGCTTGCTTTGGAAAAAAAGGGGTTCTAGTACCTATGACTGGCCTTGGGGAAGAGAAATTCTTGTTTCTATGACTTGCCCCTGGTGAGAATGAGTAGGTTAGAGACAGGGGCTCTGGAGAAAGTCAGAGAAAAACTTTGCCTCTGAGGCTGCTTCTGAGGCTTTCATTTTGGTGTATTGTTTTCTGAGACTCAACGAAGCTTCCATGCCCTCTTCGGTCACACCACCTTGTAGGCATCTCCACGTGTTTAGCAATTTGTAAGCTTTCCGAACCCTGTCCTCTTGGTTTTTATGGAGGCTTCGTTGAGGAGGCATGATTGGTTACAGCATTGATCATTGATGATCAACTCAACTTTCAGCCCTTCTCTGGTTCCTGGAGGTGAGAGAGGTAGGACTGAGAGTTTCAACTCTCTTATCCCATGGTTGGTTTTCCTGGCAGTCAGGCCCCTATCTTGTGGCTATCCAGGAGCTCCCAGCCACCAGTCATTTATTAGTGTACAAAAGGATACTTATCACTTAAGAGATTGTGTAGGAGTTTTAGGAGCTGTGTGTAGGAAACAGGAGCAAGACCAAGTATACATTCCTTACAAATTACAATATCCAAAGGAAATGGAATCAGGATCTTAAAGAAATAATCTGCACTCCCATGTTCATTGGATTATTCATTACAGTCAATATATGGAAACAACCTATATGTCTGTCAACTGATAAATGAATAAAGAAAATATAGTGTGTGTTGAGGGGGTGAAGATGTGTCTGTGTGTAATGCAATATTATTTAGCCTTAGGAAAAGAAGGAAATCCTGTCATTTGCAACAACATGGATGAAACTTGAGAACATTATGCTAACTGAAATAAACCAGACACAGGAAGATAAATGCTGCACTATCTGACGTATATATAGATTAAAAAAAAATAAAAAGTTGAACTCATAGTGACAGAGAGTAGAATGGTGGTTATCAGGGGCTGAGGGGTGTGATAAAGGGAAGATTTTAAATGATACCATCCTTCAGTTATAAGATGAATAAGTACTGGAGACCTATCATATAGCATGATGATAATAGTCAATAATATTGTATACTAAAAATTTGTTCAGATAATTGAACTGAAGTGTTCTCACGACACATGCAAACAAGGTAACTATATGAGGTGATGGGCATGTTAATTAGCTTGGCTGTGGAAATCATTTCACAATGTATACTACAGTTGATCCTTGAACAACATGGGTGTTAGGGGCATTGACCCCCACATACCATAAAAATCCATGTATAACTTTGGACTCTTAAAAAACTTAGCTACTAGTAACCTACTGTTGACTGGAAGGCTTATGGATAACATAAACAGTTGTCTAACACATATTTTGTATGTTACATGTTATTTACTGTATTATTACAATCAAGTAAGCTAGAGAAAAGCAAATGTTATTAAGAAAATCCTAAGGAAGAGAAAATATATTTACTATTTGCTAAGTGGAAGTTGATCATTATAAAAATCTCAAGGTCTTCATGTTGAACAGGGCTGAAGAGGAGGAAAAGGAGGGTTTGGTCTAGTTATCTCAGGAGTGGCAGAGGTGGAAGAAAATCCATGTATAATGGACCTGCACAGTTCAAACTTGTGTTGTTCAAGGGTCAACTGTATATCAAAGCATCACATTGTACACCTTAAATATAAACAATTTTTATTTGTCACTCATACTTTAATGAAGCTGGAGGAAAAAAAAAAGAGGAAAAATAGAGCATATTCATAGGAGTGCCAATCAGAATGACTTTCTAGCAGCAGCCGTGGAAGCTGCCAGATGTTGGAATGATACCTTTGAGGACTAAGAGAATATTTTCAACGTTCTACACTCAAACTATTATCAAATGTGAGGTAGAGAAAGGTTTCAAACATGCAAGGTCTTAGAAATTTTAACTCCCATGTACCCTTTCTTAGGATGCTAGCAGAGGGTGTAATATACCAAAGTGAGGGAGTAAACTAAAAAAAGAGGAATTCATCATGTCTGAGATTGACAGCTATGTATAGGCCTAGTAAGCAGCAGTCNTGGTCACTAAGTGAATGCTAGGAAGTGACAGAGAGGGGTCATAGAGATAACCTTTGTATGAGGCTTCTCCACAGAAACAGAGCCAATAGGATGTGAGACAGAGAGACAGAAAGGAGGGAGGGAGGGAGGGAAGGAAGGAAGGAAGGAAAAGAGGGAAGGAGGGAGGGAGGGACTTGATGTGTTTGTTCACATGGAGAGATGTTTTATAGTTCTGTCAAAGTCAAGATGAGTTTATAATAGGCATATAGAACATTTTTCAAAAGAGAGAGAAAGGAAGGAAGGACAGAAAAAGAAAGAAAGAGAGGACTTAATGTGTTTGTCCACATGGAGAGGTGTTTTACAGATATGTCAAAGTCAAGAATGAATTTATAATAGGCATATAGAAAATTTTCCAAAGGAAAAAATGGGGCCATAAATTACTTTAGAAAAAACAAAAACTTATAGGAGAAAGGAAATGTAATCCTATTACTCTGCAGAGTTTATCTGTGAATATTTTCTTGGTCATAATTTAAATACTGGATTTTGATTTAGTGAAAAATTGGGACATAGCTATAAAAGCAGACATTTATATAGTACTTACTGTGTTATAGACATTGTTGAAAATGCCTTACATATATTGAACTCATTTAATTCTTATATTAACCCTGTAAAACATGTACTGTCATTATCCTCATTTTACATATAAGGAAACAGGCATAGGAGTTAAATGACTTGTTCAAGGTCCCATTGCTAGCATGGGTTACAGCCAGGATTCAACCTAATGCAGCATGACTCCAGAGTCCATGCTTTTAATCACTATGTTATGCTTCTGCAGAGAGAAGTATTTTATGTGAATTGATAGGAAGTGGGGAGGCTGGGATGGTGGTGGTGGTGTGGTTAATGTAAGAAATCCAAGTTCTCATCTTCCTTAGTGAGACTCCAGTGAATCTACAATTGAAAAATTTAAAACAAGTAGCAGAAGTATGTTATTTATAAATATGAAGGCAAATAGCAGAAATTCAACTAAAAGAGTTTAAAGTGGGAATTCGGTCTTAGAGATTGAAAGTAGAATGGGCTGGGCACTGTGGTTCATGCCTGTAATCCCAGCACTTTGGGAGGCAGAGATGGGAGGATCCCTTGAACCTAAGAGTTCAAGAACAGCCTGCGCAACATAGTGGGACCCTGCCTCTGCAAAATATAAAAAAGATTAGCCGGGCATGGTGGTGCATGCCTGTAGTCCCATCCCAGCTAATCCTGGAGGATCACTTGAGCCCAAGATGTCAAGGCTGCAGTGAGCCATGTTTGCGCCACTGCACCCCAGCCTGGGCAACAGAATGAGACGCTGTTTTCCCAAAAAAAAAGAGAGAAGTAGAATTGAGGATTATGTCTTGTCAGCTTTGTAATTATTTTTGAGTTTTAAAAACTGCGTACATGAAGTACTATGATAAAAAGTTAAAATATACAAAAGGGAATGATTTACCAGATCTTAATTTGGTAATTAAGATAAATTTTTGTTTGGCTTGGACATATAATAGGATACTATCTCAGGCATTTTAATTTTAGTACATTTTAGTTGATAATATTTAATATTAATAATTTGTAATAGAAAATTAATTAATATTTAGCACATTTAATTGGTAATTAATATATTTCTATTCTAATAACTCAAAAGTTTTAATTTTCTTTTTAAATTAAATTTTTCAGTGGTCAAGACAGACCTAGTATCTGTTAGAATTATCTAAGAGACGTTCTTTCTTTTGACCTGGAATGATAATTGCTTTTTAATGTTCTTGCCTTACTGTTTTCTTTGTTGATTTTTTGCACATGAGGTAAGCTTCTGTGAACCCATAAAATGTTATATTTTTTATTAGAATTTCGGGAAATATTTATTTGCTGTCACTCAGTGACTGTAATTAACCGCGGTAAAACTAACTTACAGTTTTCTTACCTCTTATTTATAGTGTTTTTACACAGAATATCTTTGTTCACATAGTATTTTATTCCTCATTATTCATTTTCTCTATAGCCAATGAAAGTAATTTCTAGGATACTATTCTGGTTGAATTGACCATTGTTTTCTTTTATTATGTTAATCTTACCAGCGTATCTTTCAAGAAATTCATTTTTCCTATATTTACATTTTTTAATATTAGCCTTTTTCCAGTGTTTATGCCAAACTTCTTGATGAGATTACTTTAAAGAAGACAAAAAATTAGCTGAGTGTGGTGGCGTACACCTGTAATCCCAGCTACTCAGGAGGCTGAGGTAGGAGAATTGTTTGAACCCAGGAGGTGGAGGTTGCAGTGAGCCGAGATTGTGCCATTGTATTCCAGCCTGGGTGACAGGGCGAGACTGTCTCAAAAACAGAAAAAAAAAGAAAAAAGAAAAGAATTCCATAGATTAGTTATTCTTTTCTTACCGTTCCAATGAATATATTTCTTTTCAGTTTTTTGAATAAAGAACGCTTTTATGAGTTGTAAACTTTATATTGTTTAATAGTTTGTACATTCTGCTTTTAACAACAAAACTCCAGTGAAATACCAAAAAATTAACTTTTTAAAATAAGAACAGAGATGGCAATAGAACTTTAGCTGGTATCAGCGTTGTCAGATTTTTCCACCTGGTGTCAGAAGTACATTATTTAAATATGCAAAATATCAATCAAGATTGTGATGTCTCAATGTAATTTGAGACTATTGACTGAAAATGATAGACATCATTTATATTTGGAACTATATAGTTAAATTGCCTTTATTTTTTATTCACAGATATGTTTAAAGGGTAAAGTGCACATATTTAAATACTTAAATATTCAAGCATGTTGCAGAATGGATAAGAAACCAGATTCCCTGGATCTTCCATCATTGAGTAAACGGATGCCCTCCCAGCCTCTCACAGACAGGTAATGTAAGATTCTTACAGTTTCATTTGATGATTGCTGTGTTCTCTTGTTATAAAAGATACTTATGAATCTTGAGTGTTCTGAATATATTTAGGCTGATTGGTTCAGCATGAAAATCAATAATTGGCTGAAGCTAAATATCACCATCATAGAATGAAGTTCTAGGATACTAGAATAATCTTGGCATTTTCTCAATTATTTAAGTTTTAGTAGTAAAATGTAATTGTTTGACATTATAGTACAGAAACACTAATTTCTCAGCATGTGATGAGTATTAATTTACTTTTGTGATCACTGTAGTGTACATTTGTTACAACAAGTAAAGTTTGACTTTGAACTGAGGTTGGTGGAAGAGCAAGACTTTTGAGGAGCACATTTTCCCTTTCATCATAGTCTTTATGTCTGGATTGAAGATGATATATCATAATATCATCTTTGATATAATCTGATGACATCTTTGATGTTCTTTATGATTTCAGTGTTTTGATTCCCATGAGATTTTGAGATGGTAGATTCAGTATTCTGTTTTTAATTCATCCTTTCAAGATGTAGATTGGTCTGAAAGATTTTATGAAAGTATAAATCCATGTAGTAGTTTAGAAAATAACCTGGAATGGGGTGAGACTGCAGAAAGCTAGACCATGCCCTTGCCTAAAATATTTGAAGATTTGTCATTGCATATGTGATAAATTTTAGATTGCTTTGAATGGCAATATAGTAAGTACTATTGTTAACAGCACAAGTTCTTGAATTCCCAAATAGGACTTTTGCTTGAATATTTTTATTTTGTAAGTAGAATTAAGTATCTAAACATTAGATTTAGTTCTTAAGGATTATTTTGTTTAATATTATGAATTGTATTAGACCAAATAATTGCTCCAAAAATTGGAATTAAGACATATTCTAATCTCTTAATATGCTTTATATTTATTTTAATATGAATTCATTTTTAGTAATGGCATGTACTGTTTTAGTCATTTATTTTACAAATATCAGTTGGATGCCTACTGGTAGATTCAGTTATGTTTTGCCGAATGTCATACATGTTGGTCTTGGCACTCGTGGTGCTCACAGTCTAGTGGAGTAGGAGTCAGTGAATAAACAAAGCAAGTAAATACACACACTTAAACAAAATTTCAAATTGTATTCAGTGCTATGAAGGAACGCATTTCAAGAGTGTGGTCAGGGAATGAATAAAAGCCAGTTCTGTGAAGAGCAAAGGTAAGAGCATCTTAGGCACAAAAAATGACATTGCCATGGCCTTAAGTTAGGAAGGAACTTGGTGTGTTCAAACAACTGAAAGGGGGGCAACATGATTGAAGCAGAGCAGCTGAAGGGGAATAATGTGATACAAGTTGATTTAGAGAGGTAGTCAGAGTTCAAGTCATTTGGGTGCTTTGTAGGATGTGGTCAGAAGTTTGAATTTTACTTAAAAGTACAGTGGGAAATCATTGGACAGCTTTAAGTGGGGGAATAACATGATTTGGCTCATGTTCCTTTTTTTAAAAAAAACTATTTTGGCTCGTGGCAGAATAGATTGGAAGTAAGCAAAAATATAAGTACAGGGACCAGTTGAGTTGTTGTAGTACTGCCAAGAAATCAGGGGGTCTAGAATAAAGTGATTACAATGGAGATGAAAAGAAATGGGCAGAATTAAGATATATTTTGGAGAGATTCTCTAGCAGGACCATTCAATAAAAATATAATATGAGACATATATATAATTTTTATTTTTTTGTTATCCATTTTGAAAAAAGTAAAAAGAAATACATGTTATTTAGTTGGGTATATCCAAAATATTATCATTTCAATGTGTAATTAATGTGAAAACTTGGTGAGATATTTTACATGTTTTGAAAATATTTAATCTTTGAAATCTGGTATGTATTTTACGTGTATAATGTGTCTCAATTTGGAATGGCCATATAAAGCTACTGGCTACTTACCATATTGAACAGTACAGGTCTATAAAGTGGGTTGTCAGTTGCGTTAATTTCTCACTCACAGCCTGTATTGAACTACTTAGAAAATTCTTGTATGTGCTTTCCACTTTCATACTCAGGCTCTTGGCTATATGGTTCTTACCACCTAGAATGCCCTTCTATGTCTTGTCTGTTCTGTAAACTCTTTATTATACATAGATAGTCATTACAGTAGTTACATATAATAGCTTTTAGAGTCAGACATAATATGGCTTGCTGGGGTCACCACCTGTGGGGGTCTGTCCTGCAGACCCTGATTTAGTGATGAATGAATAAAGTACACTGACACACAGATATTATGCTTTGCCAGTTTGACTGAGTACCCGGGCTGCTTACAGACTCCCTGGAGAGTGCTGGAAACAGTTGCAACCACTCGCCTTTATTCGGCATACATTAAATGACAAAACCTCTGAGTCAACCCCACTAGAGGTTAAAGATTAAAGCACAGGTTCTGAGGCCTAAAGCAAACACCATTAGAGGGTAATATCCCTGGTCAACTTCCCCACCCCAAGAGAGCCATCTGGAATGATCAAAGGTTGATTTTAGAACCACATGAGTAAACAAGTTAGTTAGGTAAACTCCTCACATTCCTTTGTTTCTATTCTAATTTATTTAACTAAGGGGACAAGGCTACCTTCAGCCAAGAACTATAGAAAAAATTCTTAGGCCTTCCAAAAGGGTTTGAGACTATATTCTATAACTTACTCTAATATTTTTCCCTTAATATTTTTACCACCACCCTAACTGAACTCCCACAATGGCTTTGAAACACTTTTATGACTCTTAATAACTGTATGTCCTTGAGTCTGAATGTCTCTGGTCCTTAGTTTTCTTATATGTAAAAAGGAAAATAATCACACAGGTGCTGTCAGGATTAAATGAAGCAATGTATATCGAGTACTTAGTGCAATGCCTTACCCATTATATTTCCTCAACAAATAGTTTATTATCATCCTTGATATTTACTACAAATACATGGATGTATTTTGTGCAGTGCAGTCAGATGGATTTTGGCTCTAATAGTGGTTTAACCATTTAATTTCTTTATGGCCTTTTGTAAGTTATTTAACTTCTCCGAGTCTGTTTCCTCATCTAAAATGTTAACCATACCCACTTCTACAGTTGTGAGAATTAAATGTGTGCCTGGCAATTATTAGTTCAATAAATGATAAACAGTAAATGTTACAGTTTTTCCCCTTGGGAAGTTAACTTTTGTAAGCTTTATTATTTTTATTTGTAAAAATAAATAATAACTTTAAGACTGTAAGAATTAGGTCTAAAATGTGAGGTGCATCTAACACAGTACATAACACAGTATAGACACTCAGTGAATGCTAATAGTTATTGCCTGTCTTCATCCTCAAGACTAAGCTAAAATGCCACATTCTTGAGTGATGCCTTTCCTAACTTTACCGAGGAGAATTAGTTGACCTTTCTTTTTCCTCATAGCACTTTGTATTTACCTTCATCATAGTCTTCAAAACATTTAAACACATTTATTTTTCCTCTGGGTTGAGAGGTCTTTGAAGGCAAATTTAAAAAACTTTATTTTCTCTTAAGCATTCAGCATAGTACCTGATACTTGGTAGGTGCTTCCCTTAATTTATTGATACACTTCTGAAAAGTACAAAAATCAGTTTTTTTTTTTTTTCAGCATGAAACTGTTTTTAAGAGAGGAATTATAACATACTGATTATGACCGGGGACTTTAGTGCTAGATAATTGGGGATCAAATTTGGACTGCTGGCTGCAAGTTGTGTGTCCTTGGGTAAATTGCTTAATCCCTTCCAGTTTAAGTTTTCTCATATATAAAATGAGAAAACACTGTCAATTTGCTACAGTTTTCACAAGACATATGTAAGGTATTGTCTTTTAAACATGTAGCACAGTTCCTCATACATAATAAGTGGTCATTGTAGACTGTGTGATGAAATTGCAAATTAAAGTAAAAAATACTTTGCTTCCTAGGTGGCATTTTTGTAATTCAGAAATTTGCAAGGACAAATGGAATTTGAAAGTATTGAATTGCATATTCCATACTTTGTAGACTTCTTTTTTGCATCCTCTCTTAAGTATTAGATGGGCATTATTTATACAAATGAAACATATTTTTATAGCCAATGAAGAGTAAACCATATAAATTGAAAGCTCTGTGATGAAATTTGACAATCCAATATCAAAAACAGGTCTTCTATCAAGATAATGTTCTAACAAGGCAGCCTGAGTTTCTGAATAACTGAGGAGAAATAATAGGTTATTGTTAACAATTGACACTTTAGAGTATATGAAGAGAACAATATTGCGTGAATGGCATGAATAAGATGTTTTGTAGGAAGAGTTCTGATATTTTTCTCCTCAAGACCTTAATTAGGGATCTTAGATATCAAGAGTATATATTCTGTATTATCTAGGGAAATTTTAGGTCAAGTGTGCATTATCTATTTAAGAAGAAAACTCTAACTGCTCTTAGGATTTCTATTTCCATAGTATGGAAGATTTTTATCCAAATAAAAATCATGGCCCTGACTCTGGAATTGGAAGTGATAATGGAGAAAAACGATTATCCACAACAGAAGTGAGTATTTTCTATTGCTGGTCTATTCTGTTTTACCATTTTATTAGAGCATTGAAATAGAGACACTTGTGTATACTTGAGTTTTATTTTGCTTGAAAATATGATCTTTATATTTTATGACTAAAACTGAAAAAGGAGGACATACTGATTTTCAAAGCTGAGCAGTAAACCTTATGTTAATTTTGGGTTTGAGAACTGGAGATGTAAAGCAAACATTCTGTAATTCATATGTAAAATTGAAGCAACATAATTCATATCATATGTTTAAAATGCTTGGTTTACTTTTTTGCTTATTCCTTTTAGCCATCAGATGATGACACAATCAGCCTTCATTCTCAAGTCTCAGAATCAAATAGAGAGCAGACCTCAAGAAATGACAGTCACACAATAGGAAGTAAGACTGATTCTCAGAAAGGTAATTCATATGGTACCTGCTATTTTTGTTTCATGTACACAGCCCACATTAAAAATGGACTTTAAAAAATTATATTGTCTTTAGCCAACTGTTATATTGAGAAAATGCATATTTTTCTAAGGACAGCAATGTCAAGCATATAGTTTACTATGTACATTTTCTAATAAATATTAATCTATACCTAGACCAGGAGGTTTATGATTTTATTGACCCCAACACAGAAGATATAGCAGTTCCTGAACAGGGAGATGCACATATTGGATCATTTGTATCTTTCTTTAAGGTAAATAAAACTTTGAACAGATATTAATAACATGTTCTCTTGATCTTATGAAAGTGGACCATACAATTTAAAATGATAACTTTCTTTTCTATAAGGGAAAAGAAAAATGTTCTGAAAAGTCTCAGAAAAATGAAGAATTAGGAGACAAAAAGAGGTAAGCACATATGAAATTGAAGTGTTAGTTATAAGCACTTGAGCCATTATTAGATATTCCTACTTGAAGAGTACTTGAAAAAATATGAATTTTTGTTAATTTCTAATTTCTAAATAGATAGTTAATTTCTAAATACTGCACGTCTGTATTTCTCAATTAAACACAAAATTATAGTAAGTGTTTGAGTGTAGGATATGCACTGTTTTTCCCCCTGAAGTGTAATAATGACTTCTATTATTATTACTGAGGAGGACTATACCGTCACATACATTGCTTCATTTGAGCTATTTAACGACCCTCTAAAATAGATGGTATTGATACCGTTTTACCAGTAAAGACACTGAAACCAGGAGTTTTAAATGTCTGGAACTCAGATGTACTGTCTCTTGTTCTACTGTGCTTTCCATTTTTGTCAGGCTGGTTATGACTTTAAAGGGTACTTATGTCAATATTTTATTAAAATAATTGTGCTTTGGATCTTTTCTGAACCATTCATCTTATAAAATGATGGCATATCACTTACCACATTTTTTCAGTTGCTCCTTCAGGTTGCTTTATAGCTGCAGAAAGGAAAGAGGGAACATTTGGTGAATACCTAGCATGTACCAGGATTGGTACTATGTGCTTTCTTATGTTTCTCATTTAATCTTCATTAAAATCCTGCAGGATAGTTATTGACATCATTTTTTCAGATGAGGAAGATGAAGTTCAAAGACTCTAAGTTTTATGCCTAAAACCACTTAGCTAATATCCACTAGTACCTAGTGTCAATGTAGCTCTCTTTGATTTTTAAACTTTTCTCTTTTTTCTACATTGTGCTGCCTCCAAATGACTTTGTCAGTAGATTTTAAAAGTTGTTAATCACCTCTGATGCCCTGTAAGGAGGTACATTGCTTTGTCTTGAACTCTTTAGATTTCATTCTTTTACTTTCTCACGTCATCTAATGAGGGCAATTGCTTAAACTTAGGAGCCACTCACCTGTGGCATGTACGATGTGGTAAAGTCACAAAGATTCATGGTTTGATACTGTTTTTAAAGTGAAATGCCTTTAAGATAAAATAACTAGAGTTTGAATAACAATTTATTTAAAAATTTTTTTGTTCTCTTTGATAAAAATGATATATTAATATTTTCTGGCAAATTTTCCAATCTTACTTGAACCTATTTAGGATTTTCTTTATTTAGACATTTTATATACATATTTTTAAAATCAAAATGAATTGATAAAAACAGGATGTTTCAATTAAATGACAAAATTTTACATTTTAAATTTATGTATTAAGACAGGCCATAGAGAACTCTGCAGTCCTTATTATACTCAAGGCTGGAGAATATACACTTTTAGATTACTATGACTATTACACATTTCAGAAATTTAAAAAATGTTTATATACTTTGCTATTATTTGTTAGTCATTAATTATATTAATACAGCCAGTATGCTACATTTCATAATGAGTAGAGAATGTAGGATTTTAACTTTCATATGGTGTTAAAAACAAAAATGGTTTCTATTTCTGGAAGCTGGCATAAAATATAGTCTTCCTTCCTTTTTGGATAACCATGTTTGTGTCACCTTTCAGACTTGAGAAAGAACAGTTACTGACAGAGGAAGAGGATGATGATTTGAAGGAAGTAACTGATTTGAGGAAAATAGCTGCTCAATTATTGCAGCAAGAACAAAAGAACAGGTATTCTTTTCAGTAATGAGATTTGAATTGGCAAGTTTTATAATCGTTAAATCTGATTATTAAAGATTATCAAATAAAGTATATGAAGTTTTGAGTAAACAATAGTGCCCTCTTAAGATCTATCTCAAGGGATAACTACAGATTGAGCATCCCTCATTCAAAAATCTGAAGTCCAATCCCAAGCATTTCAAATAAGGGATACTCAACCTGTATTAAAAGGCAATAGGAAATACTTAGGACAGAAATGTAAAATTACATTTACAACTAACAAAATGTGCTCATATATGTAGTCACTATAGTTAATATTGCTTAGTTATTTCTTTTTTATTCCTATGTATGTGCTGAATCATAATAACTGATTTATTTGTTGATATTAATTTTAGCTCACCGTAGCATTATTTACATTGTAAGCTTTTTTTAAATATAGGTACATGTCGTATATATAATGTGCTTTTTAAAACTCAGATTCTGAATTACTTGGGATATATCTAAACTCCTTAGAATGGGGCTAAATTTTATAAGGGTTGATTAAATCAGTATGATGATTTGAGGGTCACTGTCTCACTTTGGTCTATTTCTTGGTCAAAGACCATTTTCCCCATCTTTTGGTTAGTCTTTCTTCAAATACATGTTGTTGGCAATGAGAAGGACACTGTGTGAATGAGAATAAAATAAAGACAAGTCCACTTCTAATGCAGGAAAAGTCCCATATGCTGCTGAGGGTCGGCTGTTATTGCCATCTTCATGTACTGAGAGGACTACATTTATAGTTTTGAAATGATAAAGATCTGAGTGGTTTTTTTTTTTTTTTTTTTTTTTGAAAAGAGAATATGTTGGTGCATCTAACATGGATATGTAATAAGTATTTTATTTCATTTATTCAAAATAATAAATGTTTATGGTTAATATGGCCATGTTTTGGGAAGTTTCAAATTTAAATATACTGGCATTTGTTTAAATGTACATTGAAAAATACAATTAAAACATCAAATGACAAATATATGGTTTCTAGGGGCCACTTTTTAGGGGCAATCTAGATAATAGTTAATAAGCTAAATAGCCTAAGTATCTTTTTTGCACAGCTGCTACATTTATAGGTAAACAAAATCATATTAGAAAATCACTAATCTTTATTTCTTTCTTTGTTGATGTATCTTTATCCACAGTTCACATTTTTCTTCTACTATAACTTTCTGTCAGCCTTTTCTGTGATGTGTATCTTTTCAGCTTTTCCTGTGATTCCTTTCTAAAGGGCCTTTTTAAAATTGACAACTTATGAGGCTGTGTTTGTTTTCCCCCCTCCAATATAATCTAAGTGTTGGTTGTCCTTTGGTTTAAGAGGTTTGATGAAGGAAGCCACTACTTGTTCTGTGGAGCTTAAAAAGTTTCTATCTCCTCTACCTAGCAGGTGAAATAATTGTATTTATCATTATGGGAAGAGAATATTGTTTCCTTAAGAACCCACAGCTGTCTGGGTGCTATGGTTTACGACTGTAATCCCAACACTTTGGGAGGCCAAGGCCAAGGTGGGTAGATCACTTGAGCTCAGAAGTTCAAGGCCAGCCTGGGCAACATGGTGAAACTCCATCTCTACCAAAAATACAAAAAATTTTCCAGGCATGGTGGTGTGCACCTGTGGTCCTAGCTATTTGGGAGGCTGAGGTGGGAGGATTGCTTGAACCTGAGAGACAGAGGTTGCAGTGAGCCAAGATCATGCCACTCTACTCCACAGCCATATCCATTTTTCTCAGGTATTAGGAATAGCATTTGAGTGCTTAATTGTAGATATTTATATTGCCATGTACAATATTTCTGTACTTTCCATTTTTCCTATTAGTATATTAGTTTTTCATCCATTCATATGACTTAAATTATTCTTTCTAGCCTAGGCAAAACATTGACAAAATCATTATCTTTCGTTGGTTTTGTTTTTGGTGATAGTTTTTTAATCAGTATAAAATAGCACCTAGCACTGTGCCTTATACATAGTAAGTACTCAGTAATAATATTTTTGGTTGATCACTTGAAAAGTAAATCAATACATTCAAAATTAGTAGGAGCCATTAATTTAGTTAAAAATTATATGCTCTACCTAAAAAAAACTTCTGCTGTTCTTCAAGATATATGTAAAAGTAATTTTTCTGCTTCTCATTTTAGATATTAGTACATACTAATATAAGAACTTTTTAGATTAAATATTGTTGTAAAGTTACATTGTTATGATAAGTATGTCTAATTTTTTCAGATACTATAATATTTATAATATGATCATAAAGTAAAGAGCACATTTTTTTTTGAGACAGAGTCTTGCTCTGTTGCTCAGGTTGGAGTGCAGTGGTGCAGTCTTGGCTCACTGTAGCCTCTGCCTCCTGGGTTCAAGTCATTCTCATGCCTTGGCCTCCCAGGTAGCTGGGATTACCGGTGTATGCCACCACGCCTGGCAATTTTTTTGTATTTAATACAGATGGGGTTTTGCCATGTTGGCTGGGCTGGTCTCAAACTCCTGGCCTCAAGGGTTTCACCTGCCTTGGCCTTCCAAAGTGCTGGCATTATAGGCGTAAGCCACCACTCCCGGCCAAAGAGCACATTTTACTTTTAAATTTGATAATGTATAGAGAATTTTAGATCCCTGGCCAATTCTGTTAATGTCTGAACTTAATTTGGATCTCAGAAATTTTTAATGCTAAATCTAGTATTTTTTCTATTAAGTAATCTTTCTTCCTTCTACAATATGTTCCTATTGCTTAGATCTTTTAGATTGAGATAATTAAAATTTTTTGTTTACTGTCACAATACTTGAATTTGAATGAGACCAAAAAACTAAGCATAATCCTATATAAAGATGTATCCTACAGTGATTTTGGTGTAATTTATTCCTTCTCTGGTTGTAGATTTTCCTTTTCATGCTGTATTATTGTGTCTTATATTCCAAATATATTAGTGAAGGATCTGAAATGCTACTTAAAATTGTAGGCCAGAAGTTGTAACATCTCTTTTTAGGTTTTAAAACAGTTATCGTAATTTTTTGTTTGTTTTCAGTCTTGATTAAAAATAATTTAACTGTATTAAGATTACCCTCACCTACCAGGAAGTATTATCCAGGACTGCTACTTTGACTGTATACTACTTAACTGTTCTTTAACTCGCTACTAGTAGAAGACAAATGCAATGTTAGCTCTCAGCTAAATGAAGCCATGTATCTTCTCTCAAACTAGAGGTAGTTAAAAAACAGCTTACACTGAGTTCAGTGATGATTTTCTTATGGCAGGTTTTGCCACTTGCTTTGTTCATATTATTTTTTAAAATGTCTTTGATTATTTAAGAAACTTTATACTAGTACTTGGTACATGAAACTATCCTAGGGGAGCAGCAAGAGGATAGTATACAGAATTAATACTCAAAAAGACTGGAAAAGAGATCAGCAAATAAACCATCAAGTTGGTATAACTCATATGGTTTTAAAGTCTGAAGCCCAGTTATTTAAAAGACTGCCCCCCACTTTGACTGCCCCCACTTTGCCCCCCACTTTAAGATATGTAGATTAAGCTACTTTATGTTTACAGTTTATTGTTGAATTTTTTTTAATTGATAAACAATCTTTATCATCCCCTGTCAGAATATTGGATTATTATTTCTACTTGTATCTGATTGTATTGAAGTTATTCTGAATCAATGACTTTGATTATCTTTGAATAGCTATTCAGCAAGTTATAATTTTACCTTCAGTGTCATTTGGGAAATTTTAAAAAAAGATAGTCTTAAAAAAAATCAGTATCTTAAAAATAATGTTGTATGATGAATAAGTTCTGGAGATCTGCTGTACATTGTACCTGTAATTAACAATACTGTATTGTATACTTAAAAGTTTCTTAAGAGAGATCTCATGTTAAATGTTCTTACCAAAATAAAATAAAATTATAAAAAAGAGAGCATGTTTTTTAGAGCAGAAAGAAATCAAGGAAGGAACTGAGAATAAAATGATACTCTTAGAATATTTTTAATATTAACTTGATAATAAAAAAGGAAATTCTGTTGAAAAACAAAAAAAAAGTTGATATGTATTATAAATTATTGAGCCAGTTCTCCAAATTTCCACGAGTCCTACTCATTTATGTTAGTGTTAGAAAAGTGGCTACTGCTCTTTTTCTTATATTGATTATCTTAAGGGGCTTAATAAGTACATGTTTAGCTGGCTTCTTAAATTTTGTTATCATTCTAAAGAAAGGATTAAAATATATGTGTGACTTTGCAATAAATAGCTTCATTTAACTGGTTCTCATTGCATGTTTGTTCCTGCTAACTTACTCTGTAGTATTTTGTTATGTTTTTCCTTTTAATAATTATTTTCTTTGCTTTTAGGTGTGTCATGAGAGATTTTTTTCTTTGCTGTTGAAAGATGTGCTTCTGAGTACTATGTAATATAGCTAAATACCAAAAAGTAATTATGAAAAGTTATAATTAAAGTATAAATAAGGATCATGGAAAGCAAAACTAGGTTTGGGAAGTTTATAATTTTGTTTTAGTATTATAGAAATTATGGACATTACGTGTTTTATTATTTTTCCTGATCATATGAACATTTCAATTGGAGGAGCACTGTGTTAACCTCTAGCTTGTTAAAACTACTTAGGTAGATCTCTTAGTCCTTGAAATCTATCTATTCTTTCATTTCTGCGTTCTTTACAAATGACTACCCTGTCCTCTTCAAAAACATCTTCTTCTCCCATCTTTTGGTTTGGATGATTTATGTGAAATGTGAATACAGATGGAGGCCTTTAAATTGTAGAGCATCATTCAGTGATAAACTCTTCCAGAGGACCAGAGCAACAGGACATGCATCAAGGTATCTAGTTTGTGGAGGCCTTCAAGTATTAAGGGGGCAGGTTGACATAGCTATATTACATAGTCTTTTATTTAAAATAAGTACTGGTAACTGGATTAGGAAAGTGTGTTAATAATCTAGATGTTTAATTAGAATAGATGTTTGTTTTGACTTTGGATGTCAGAGTAAAACATAAAATACAGTGTACATAGCAAAATTTTACATAGGGAATTCTCAAGTACATAAAATATATTTTATAGGTAAATGGATCTCAACTTTTTTTCTTTCTGTTTCAATATGACTCATACACAGAAGTAATCATAATGCTAATGAATGTGTGGTGGGAAGGAATCAGAATTTACCATAGTGAAAGCCTTTACAGTTTGACTCCCCTCACCTTCCAATAATTCTGATATTTCCCCAAGGATAGTACTTACTGCTCTCTCCTTTTAAAAAAATATTTTTCCTAATAGTTTTGGATATTTCATTACCTTAATTTTTCTGCATTTAGGAGTTTAAGTCAATTTTCATGCATGCCTATATAAAGAAGAATAAGTGTCCTTAATTCTGAAATTGTTTGGCCCAAAGTTACACTGATTTGTGTATGATACTTGTCCTTTGCATCTCATTATCAATTTTTCCTAGTGAGGCCCTACTAGATCCAAGCTAGTGAGTAACCCAGAGTAATGGACTTTGGTTTCTTTATGTGAACCATATTTCTGTAATTACCAACTTTTATTTAATCATTATGTATTTTATTAGTCAATATGTAGCTTTTATTTAAAATTTGTTTATATTCTTTGGGTAGTTAACATCTGGAGATTTTATTTTGAATAAAAGGCAGAGATTTTACTTCTATGTTACTAAATTTTAAAAGCGAAAATTATATTTGTATATGTAGTAACATAAAGAACTCTTAAATAGCTGGGTGGGGTGGCTCACGTCTGTAATCCAAGCACTTTGGGAGGCCGAGGCGGGAGGATCACCTGAAGTCAGGAGTTCGAGACTAGCCTGACCAACATGGAGAAACCCCATCTCTACTGAAAATACGGAATTAGCCAGGTGTGGTGACACATGCCTGTAATCCCAGCTACTTGGGAGGCTGAGACATGCAAGTTGCTTGAACCTGGGAGGCAGAGGTTGTGGTGAGTGGAGATTGTGCCATTGCACTCCAGCCTGGGCAACAAGAGTGAAATTCTGTCTCAAAATAAAAAAAAAAAAAAAGAAAGAAAAACCTCTTAAATAAATATAGTTACTTATGTTAAGGATAGTTAATAATTCATTACTTTAGACTTTGAGATTAATACTTAGAATTATGTAACATTATATACAAATAGTTCTCTCTTAATAATGGTTCATCATTATCTTTTCTTTGGTTTTCTTCAAATAGTTTAGTTATTAAAAGTTTAAGAAACATGCTTTTTTAAAAAAAACTTGAATTTTAGCACTGATTTTGCATTTAGGATTAAAGTTTTTCATTTGGCAAAATGATTATGTATTGCATCAACATGCCTCATATCATTTGCTGTGCTGGGAAAATAAATCAATCATGATGATACCTCTTTATCTCTTTATCTTCTATCTTAGCCAAAAGTTAGATATGCAAAGGGCGATAATAGCATGGCTAGAAGATACCCAAACTTTGAGAGAGTTTATAAAAGAAGATGCATGGAAAGTTGCTGAGCTTCATTTTGGTATAAATAGTGCACTTATGGGCACTTGATCAAAATAATATTTAAATATTCTTTTCTAGCAAAAATCTTCAAGGACCAGATGCAGTTGATTTTGGAGATTTTTTATATAATGTGATATAATATTCTCCTTAATATATTTGGGAATTAATGTGTTGATTTACTTCTAGGATTCTTAATCATTCAACTTCTATCATGAGAAACAAGCCAAAACAAACTGTGGAATGTGAAAAGAGGTATAAAAATATCTTAGTTTTTACATTTAATATTTTATAATGAGTATTGATCCTTTGACAGCGATGTTTTCATATATAGGCTTTAATTAAATAAGTGATATAAATTTAATATAACTAGATAATTTAAATAGGAAATGTGTTAGAACATGAGTTAAATTTACTTTTGACATAAGCAAAATAAAAAATGCTGGTCTTTTATGCTTATAGATACATTTTTGTCTTGATGATAAAATCATTCATCTATTCATTCAGCAAACATTTTTTATATTGCTATTACGGACAGGAATAATGTGTTTTTTTTTTAAATCATTGATTGTATTTATTCTCTATGATATTGTTTATATTTTCATTTCAATTGAGTGTTAATAAATTCTTGTATATGAATATATGACATAAATTCGCATATATGAATTCCTGAGAACTAGAAGAACTTGAAAGTTTCATTTATTCTTTTTGATGGTTTGAATTTACATTAGACTCAACTCCTGCATCAATCCTCTGAGAATGTAAATGTCCAAAACCACAGGGTAGTACAGAAGTTCACACAGAGAGAATTAACATTTGTTGAATGCCTGTTAAATGTGTGGTGACTTTAGTGCTTTAGATGTGTTATCTCATTTAATCCTCGCAGTAATTCTATGGAATCTTTACTATTGTTATTCCTATTTTATAGATGAGAAAACTGAACTCAGAAATTTTCAAAATTTGCTCAAGGTCACATAGGTGTAAGTGGTGGAGTCAGGATTCAAAGCCAGGTTTTCTGATTTCAGAACCCCACGTCTTAACATATGATAACAAACCCATTTTGTTTGCTTCCTCCAAAGCCTCACATCCCTCTCAGTGTTTTTTCCTAGATATCCTATAGTCCAAACTGAACTTATTTTTCCCCAGAGCTATTTTTTTTCTCCTATATATTCCATCCTAGTGAATATACCACTATTTATATAATCACCTAAGAAAGCAACTTGGGAATTATTAGAAACTCCTCTCTCTAATAGAGAGACTCCCTCCCAATCCAGTCATTCACAGAAAATTATAGCTTCTTAACATTACTTGTATTTATCGCAGCCTCTTCATTCCTATTGTAATTAGGTTGGTTCAGGCGTAGTCTTTTTGTGCTTGGCTTATTGCAATAGTCCCCAGACATAGCTCCTTTCTTCAGTTTTGTCTAGCATTAAATGTGTCTTCTGCACAATAGAAGAGTGATAATTCTGAAACATAAATCTTACTGTGTGACTCCCATTTATTATCTTCTCATGACTCTTTACAACTTTTAGAATAAATCTTAAAATATTTAACTTAACCTATAAGGTTGAAGTGGGTTTCTGCTTACCCTGAGAGCCTCATCTTGTACAGTCTGCAACTGGCACCATTTGCTTTTAGGAACAGAATTTCTTTCTTCATTACAGGATGATTTTATCTCTGTGTTATACCTTCTTTTAATTAATTAATTTATTTTTAATTTTTAGTTTTTTGTCTGTGTTCTACCTTCTACATCCTGGTCTCTTTACTAGAATTTCCCTCTGTCTATCTTAGTCTTTCAGAATTCGGTTCAAGTGTGAGATTACTTTTCATACCCAAGCCTAGGAATATTCACCCATCTCACCTTTAATTTAATTAATTTAACCCACTTTTTCTCTCTTTGAATACCAATTCTGCTATCTTACATTTTTGCTTTCTTTAAGTTTCTGTTATTTACTTCCCCTTGCTTTATTTTCTGCCTTAAGCTTCCTCCGCAGGTTCCTAACATTCTCTTGAGAAGGCCTCAATTGCCCAACCTTAAAACTATGATATGCAATCCTGGCCTTTCCTTTATAAAACGATTACTTTTCCCTTTCTCATTTTCAAAACAGTTATCAAACTCCTTCTTTAAAGACAAAACCAAAAATTCTTTAATGTTTTCCTGATTGTGAGAGTAATGTAGCTTTCTTGTTGAAAAATTGGAAACTTTGGCAAACATAAAAGTAAAGAACATCACTCATTGTCTCACTCTCCAGAGATGACAAGTCACATTATTTTGCTACTTTTCCTTTTAGCCCTTTTTTCCATGTGAATATTTGCATTTGCATTTTCCATATGAATATTTGCATTTGCATATATGTACATGTGTATGTACACACACACACACACACACACACACACACACACACTGCAGGGTTATATAACCTGTTACATACCCAACACTGCCACTTAGATGCATATTAGGCATGTCAAATATTATTTTCCAAAACTATACTCTTAATGTTACTGTTGTACCCCTAAACTTGTTCCTCCCACATTTTTCTCAATTTCAGAAAATGCCAACTCCATCCTTCTGGTTGGTCATCTCAAAACTTCAGAGTCATCCTTAACTTGTCTCATTCTCTCACACCTGATATCTAATCCATTAGTAAATCTTGTTGCTCTACTTTAGAATATATATAGAGTCTGATCATGTCTTACCACCTCCACTCCTACCATCCTAGTCCTAGCTATCTCTTACTTCAATTATTATAGCAGCCTCTTAGCAGGTCTGTTTTCTACCCTATCTTTCATTTACTCTGTTCCCACAAAGCATCAGATTGATATTTTGAAAACGTAAGTCAGATGATATCGTTTGTCTTCAGAATTCTCTGCTGACTTCCCATGTCATTCAGAATAAAAACTAGCGTGCTTTAAGGCTTATAATGTCCTGCATTTGGTTTCAAAACCTGTCTTTTCTTTCTCTCCCTGGTTACCCCTCTTCTATCTATACTGGCCTCCTTGTTGAATCTCAGCAGACCAGGCATTCTCCCCATCCCCCAAGGCTTTTTATTTTTGCCTCTGCCTGGAATGGTTTCCCCCCAGCCATATGTCTTAATCTTGTACATTCAGGTTTCTGTTTAAATGGTACTTCACCAGCAAAGTATTCTCTGAATAACGTATATAAGAGCATGCCTCCCCAACTCCTTTGTCTCTATTTCCCACACCTTGCTTTATTTTTCTTAATAGAATTTAACACCATTTTTCATTCTAAATATATACTTCTGTACTTGTTTTTTTATCAGCATCCCACTACCCAGTGGATACACTACAATGTAAATTTTATGAGATTACAGACTTTATTTTCTATTCTGCAATATCTTTCCAATTAACACAATGCATGGCACACATGGTAGGTACTCAATAAATATTCATTGAGTGAATAAGTTGGGAAAATATGTTGAAATGATGAATGCCAGGAACTGTGTTGTATGCTGGGAGACGCAATAGTGATCAAGAGAGACATGGTCCCAGCCATCATGAGATTAATGATTGATATTTTTGTTTGTTTTTTTGAGATGGAATCTCGTCTGTCGCCTAGGCTGGAGTGTAGTGGCATAATCTTGGCACACTGTAGCCTCCGCCTCCTGGGTTCAAGTGATTCTCCTGCCTCAGCCTCCCAAGTAGCTGGGATTACAGGCATGCACCACCATGCCCAGATAATTTTTGTAATTTTTGTAGAGATGGGATTTCACCATGTTGGCCAGGCTGGTCTCGAACTCCTGACCTCAAGTGATCTGCCCATCTTGGCCTCCCAAAGTGCTAGGATTACAGGCATGAGCCACTGCACCCAGCATGATTAACGTTTTAATATATTGCAGTTTTGGGTGTGTTCATTTTTTGAAATATGGCTTTTGAATATACAAATCCATGAATAATAAGAATGGGTTGCCTGTTGTTGGCATTTGGTAGCATGTAGATTTGTAGGAGAACACTGGAAAAATTTTGGGTACTTAGGTTTTGAGTCCGAATGGTCAGTCCCCCTGAAATGCCTGGACAGCTTTGTACTAGAAGTGATCTCAGTGGACTACTCTCCAAAGATTTCAAGCCACTTCTAGCAATCAGCTAGACATTGTAAGCTCTGGGACATTGTAAACATACAAGAAATCTGTGATAAACTATTGAGAAACTGGTTGGCCAAGTATCAGGGTACAGTTGAAAGAGCGTGGGTCTTGAAGTCAGGCAGACTTGGGTCAGAGTCCCATCTTTAGCACTTACTAGATGTGAGGCTTTGGATAGGCTTTAAAATCAACCCTAGTGCCTGGCACCTACATGCTTAGTAAATGTTAGCTCTCTGATTATTTCTTTCTACTTACCTTTCTTCCTATAAAGAGGTAGATTAGTGTAGTGGTTAAGAGTTCAGGCTCATAGAATGATGCTGTTTGGGTTTGGATCCTGGATCTGTCTCTTGGGAAAGTTATTTAGCTTACTCTGAGCAACATTTACCCCTTCTGTAAAACACAATAACAGTGTCTACCTCATGGTTACTGTAAGGATGAAATTGATTAATGTAGTCAATTGCTTATGACAGTGATTAGCACACAGAAAGTGTCACATATGTTATTAGTTGTTAAACTATAGTTGTTATTATGGTGGACTTTCTTATTTTTCCTTTCTTTTGTATCTCAGCCCTTCCTTTTTCAATTCTCACCTCCTTCTTTCTTCAAAAGGGAAATAGCTTTGGGGGTATTCTTTTTCTGATATTAAGAAGTATTGCATGACCTTAACTTGTTTTTTCTTTATATATATATACTTTAAGTTCTGGGATACATGTGTAGAACATGTACAAGTTTGTTACATAGGTATACACATGCCATGGTAGTTTGTTCTGGGATACATATACAGATACATGTACAAGTTTGTTACATAGGTATACACATGACATGGTGGTTTGCTGTACCCATCAAAACACATTGAATTATAGGAAAATAATTTAAATTCTGTGACTTTTTTTTTTCAGCAGTGGGTGGGGGAGCACACCCCACCCCTTCCCCACCTATAGAAGAATCTCATGTACTTTCTGTTAACAAAAATGAGATCACACTAAGTATACTGTTTAGTAATCTGCATTTTTCATTTAATATTATCGTGATGGTTTTTATATATCCACTCAATCTAAATTTAAATTTTGATGAACTTTATATATTCTGTACACTTGTATTTTCTTTCTTTCTTTCTTTCTTTCTTTCTTTCTTTCTTTCTTTCTTTCTTTCTTTCTT